GGCGCTCGCGAGCCGAATGGCTTTCCACATTCTGCTAAGCCTGAAAGAAGGAGTTAGAAATCTAATGACATCTCACAGTTCATGAGATAAAAAGAGTTAAACTTCATCTAGCTTACCCTTGGATCAATCCATTTAGTTGCAGCCAAAGCTCTTCGTCTCTTATATTGTTAATTGTAACGGATACTTTGTCAACAACTTGAATCGCAATCCTTATCTTCGTGGACAAACTTCTCACTAATCTTCTTGTTGAATCTACTTTTGGAGCCTCTGCACCTCTTTCATCTAAACGCTTCAGCGTCCTTAACTTTTTCTCGTGTAACACACGCAGTTTTTCCTCAGCCTACATGAGAAGCCGCACACAGAATTATAGTTCAAACCAGAAAAGAGTAAACAACAGAAGAAGATGAACTAAGAAAACAGCACACACCTTTAATGTCCCTAAGACAGACAAATTATGGATTCATTTACCTTGACTTCAACGTAAAGCTTCTTCTCCCAGAGGTGGAGCTTGTCCAATGTAGAAGAAAGATTACGAGACCTTAATGCAAGCTCTGACTCAATTTCTGCGTAAGTAGGTGCAGCCACAACCGAAGAAGAAGACGCTTCAGCTTTCTTGGAGGTTGACGGTTGAGATGACGACAACACAGACGGCGATGGAGTGTCCCTCTGCATCTTCTTCGACGAAACTGCTCCAATACAAACACAAATACAGAAAGTCACAATCCACTTTTTAGCAGAATTAAAATCATCTAATGGTACTTCAAACACCTGCGAATTTTACTTCATCTTACAAAACCAATATATACTTAAAGTTGAATAGGGCTTATAACTTTCACAGAAGTGGCAAGAGAATCATGTATTGACATAAAACAACAATTTTCTATTCACTAGAGTTCTACAAAGAATCGAACTTTTCTGCAACAGAATCACTAGATTTTTAAAAAGAATCGAGCTTTCTGCAACAGAATCACTAGATTTCTACAAAGAATCGAAAATTCTGCAACAGAATCACTAGAAGGAATCGAACTTTATGCACATAATCATAAGAAACAACAAAAAAAAACGAAAGATTTGATGACAAGAACAAAGATTTGCAGCAAATATTGATGAAATCTACCATTTTTGCGACCATAAGGAAGCTTGCCCACTTCAAGTATCACTGCAACCTCACTGCCTGACTCTGCAGCTCTCAAGAACTGAACCTCAATCTCTTTCGCAACCTCAGGCACCCCACGCCGGACTCCGCCACACCAACCGCCACGTGGCGCTGCGTTACTCCTCCGTACCTTGTCCCCACCATCCTCTACAACTTTCTTCTCCACCAGATGAACCTCCTTCTCTTCGTTCTCAACCGACACGCTTGGCCTAGTCTGATACAGAGAAGCCTGACCACCGGAGTTACCTGGCGGCTCTTCCTTGTCATCCACGGTGGCCGCGGCTGGAACCGGAGGTTTCCCGGCGGCGAATTTCTGTTTCCCTTGTACTTCCTTCACAACCTCTCGCTGAAAATCCATTTCCTCCAAATCCGGAATACCTTCTTTCTCTCTCACCTCTCTCGAATCCCGAGTAAGAGTGTACGGAGCGTAATCGAAAAGGTTTAAGAAATCCCAAGCTTCTGACTTTGGTGGCGAAGGAAGCGGCTTCGACGACGATGGAGAAGACCCGGGTCCGTAATTCGGGTATGGATTAGAAGTTGATGAATCGCCGATGTAAACTCTCTGAGGACTCGAAGGTCTCTGCTCGTAGACGACGGAAGGAGGCATCGAACTATTCTTCATGTAATTCATATGCAGATACGACCCGGAGTAAGAAGGAGGAGGAGGAGGACCCGGATTCGAGTAACGGGTAAAACCCGGATCCTCGTCATCGTCGAGATGGTGATGCAGAGGAGACGATGAGTGATCAGAGTGATGCAAGGAATCGATTTCGTCGGAATCCGAATCGAATTCGATATGACCCGACCCAGAATCCGAGATGGGCGAATCGTCCGGGTCGTCGTGAGACTCTCCTCCGGCGAAGCGGTGGTGGTGGTTGATGAAGCTGTGAAGAGAAGGGCCGATTAATTTTAGGGATTGTGTGTAGGCAACGTGGGACTCGGAGAGAGCGTAACGTTGTTGAATCGCTGCTTCGAGGAAACCGCAACGGTCGCGACAAAGCGCCACCGCAGGAAGATCGTCGAGCTTGGAGGTTGTACAACCCATCAAATCAAGTTTTTTTTTGGGAATCCCCCAGAGATTCGAGAATCAGCTTGTACTAATGGACAAATTTTTAAGGATTTTTTTGAAAAAAGAAAGTTAAAGAGAGAGACTTTGAAAGTTAGGTGAGAAGTAAAGTCTATTATGAGGCAGAGAGGGTGATAGAAAGTAGAAAAAAAGTGAGGTTAATATCATTTTCCCGAGAAAATTATAACTTTTAAAAGTTTGTTAAAGAAGAGGAAACAGCGACGACAGAAAGGGAAGCCTTGCTTAGATGTGTTTTTTTTTTTTTACATAAACTGAGTAATTTATGGAGTACAGCTTTTGAAAATGAAAACTTTTGGAGTGTTTTGATTATTTCTTTCTTTTTTACGACCAAACCATTTGAATTTGATTATTATTTGATTTGAACTATGGTCGTCTTTATTGTTCAAAAAAAAAAAAAAAAACTATGGTCGTCTTTCTTCTCATTAACTGTTTCATTTGATTTGTTCTTTGGACAATAGAAAATCTTAATTATGAATACGAGATCTGACATTCGTCTCTTTCTTGTCTGAAACGCCATACTATTTAATCTTGAGCCTACATCTTCTAATGCATATTTCCTTTGAATTGACAGTAATTGGAGTAGTTATTACTCCTAGCTTTGTTCTCATTTGGTCATGCGTTGTTTCCGAATATTCGAGTTTGGTTCTTATCAAATCTTTTGTTCTTGGTTTACTTTAGGCAACTTTGTCTCTTATTTAAAATTCTGTTCTTAGACTGAATTCCGGTTTATCTGGCTATATCTCAATTTATCCGAATTTTGTATCATGATTGGAATATTACAATAAGTCTTCTTCCTCGTGCCTAATTATTTTATTTATCATTATGTCTTCCAATGACCAACTTGAATTCTGTAGGAGTATTATAAACCATCATTACCTTAATCACTTATGTCTATTATTGGTGGAATCTTCAATTCAAGTTTTTGAAAAGTATAATAAGATTTTTCTATGTCATAAAACATTTTTTAAAATGATAATAGAAGTCTTTTCTTCTCGACTATCATGATATAAATTTATTTTTTTCCATTAGGGAACAAAGCAAACGACACAATGTAAAATGCCAGACTGTTGTTTCTCGTTGTGTTCTCATTTATCTTCACAAAAGTCAACAGTCAAACTCCAAAAGTCTCCTCTTGGTCAACTCTCTTCCTCGTCCTTTTAACTCCCACAAACCAAGAAAATACCATTACCTGAAGAACTCTCCGGCAACAAATAGAAATAATGGAAACTTCCCGTTTTACCCTTCCCTTTCTTCTCATCGCCCTCTCCTTCCTCCTCTCTCTCTCCGCCCAAATGACAGGAAACTTCAAATGCGGCGAACCCGGTGACTCACCCTCCACGTGTCGTTCTCTCGTTGGTTACTCAAGCAAGAACGCCACAACGTTAGGCAATATCCAAACCCTCTTCGCTGTCAAGAAGCTCCGTTCGATCCTCGAAGCCAACAACCTCCCACTCTCCACCACACGCGCTCAGCGCGTGATCCCGAACCAGGTCGTTCGCATCCCGATCCCTTGCTCTTGCTCCAACGGAACCGGCGTCTCGAACCGGGTTCCGGTTTACACAGTCAAGAAAGACGACACGCTCTTCTTCATCGCGTCTGAGATTTTCGGAGCGTTGGTTCTGTATCCTAAGATCAGTGAGATGAACGCAATCCCCGACGCTAACGAAATCAATGTCGGTCAAAAGCTTTGGATCCCTTTGCCATGTAGCTGTGATAAATTGGACGGTCGAGATGTTGTTCACTACGCACACGTGGTCAAATCTGGAAGCTCCCTCGGTGAGATCGCAGCTCAGTTTGGAACGGACAACACGACGCTTGCTCGGCTCAATGGGATCTCCGGCGATGCTCAGCTCCTCGCTGATAACCCTCTAGACGTCCCTCTTAGAGGTAAAAACACAAAAGAGGAAACTTTTGAATTTGATTTTTGATTTTGAAAAGTTTGTGACAATAGCAGTTTCATTTGACTAATCTCAATGGGTTTTTGAGGTTGATGATGGTTTTAGATAAGTTTCATTGAGAAAAGTCTATTACTTTTAGCAGTTTCATTGGACTAATCTAGTTGGGTTTGAATTTGATGATGGTTTAGATGAAATAAACCGTATAAACGGAACTTTATTGAAAAAAGTCTATGACTTTGGTAGTTTCACTGGACAACTCTAGTTGGGTTTGAGCTATTATTAAGAAAGTTGAGAACTTTTGAATTGCAGCTTGTAGCTCTTCTGTGAGGAACGACTCTTTGGACGCTAATATGCTTCTGCCTAACAGTTCATACGCCATCACTGCAAACAATTGCATCAGGTGCTCTTGTGCCGCTTCAAACAATTGGACGTAAGTGATGGATAATCTTGGAGTTGTCTTGGTCCAATATGATAAAGATTGGTTTTTGATTAGATTCTGATGGTTTTGTGTTTTGTGGATCAGATTAAGCTGTGAAGCCTCTCAGCTTAAGCCTTCGAACTGGCCAACTTGCCCGACTTCACGATGCGAAGGAGCAGAGAGTTTGTTTATAGGTAACACGACCAGTACCTCTTGCGGGCCTCTTTCTTGTGCCTATGCTGGTTACTCCAACCAGACCATCTTCACAACTCTTTCTCCAGATTCCTGTCCAGGTTTGTTTCATTCAGGTTCCTGCACATTTTGTTATTGTGTAATGGCGATTAATGAGTTAATAATAATTTGATGAACAGATTCTGGTGGTCCTGGACCTCCTGGTAACTATGCTTCAACGTTCAGCTCAAGCTTCAGTTTTGTGATGGTGTTGATTCAGTTTGCTCTGCTCTGTCTTTGTCTTCTCTAGTAATGTTATGATGTTGTCTTTTTATGAGTGTGAATCTAAGTACAGTTCTGATTAAAATAAAAAAGAGATCGTTTCACTTGAAGTATCACGTCCTTGTATTATTGTTATGTGTGAACAAAAAATTCAGCATTTGTTGCCAAAGTCAAAGAATAGTAAAGCTTTTACAAGAAGTTGATAGTAATTAACATTTTTATAAAAAGCACAACAACAAAAAGAGCTGATGTGACATCCCAAATATTAGTTTTGGCCCAATTTTTTTTAGCTCTTTTTTTTAGAAACCTAAACTACTCAATATCCTTCTTAACACCTAATAAGGCCCAAATCCATATTATAATTTATGCAATTTGTCTCTAAACCAAATCCTCTAAACCAAACCCTAATAAAACCAAAAAAAGAATGGAGGAAAAGTGAGCAGCCATAAAGAAGAAAAGAGAGAAGAGAAGAAAAGAGAGAGAGAAGAGAAGAAGAAGAGAAGAGAGAAAGGAAGAGAGAGCTCACTGTCTTCGTCTCCTCCAGTCACCACCTCCACCACCACAAGCTTCACGTCTCCAGAGGAGGATCCACTGCCACCAGAGCTTCTAATCTACCACCACCGCAGCTGTTGGTTGCACAGAGAGGAGGAGAGGCCTGGAGAAGAAAAAAGTTGAAGGAGAAGACATAAATCCGAGATGGAGTTTTGTGAGGAAGATTCCCGTCGCTTCAGAGAGAGTTAAACCGTGATCAAGGTGCCTCTGGAAAGATATCGTTGCTACAAAGCCACAGAAATAAACGGCATCGTCATCGGACTTACGGTCAGGCCACAACGACGCTTTCTTCCTGCACAAGAATCATCTGTGTCAACCTACAACCCAGAAATTTGCTTCGACGCAGCAACTTCAAAGGACCATAGACGACTCGTCTGAAGTCCGATCGAGCTTAAATTTTGTGGAGGGCTTCACGGTACATCTGTTTCCAGTTTCAACGGTGGGATCAAGATTCCAACGGTTGGTTGTCGAGTTATGAGCGTGTTTCTGAGGCAGCATTGAAGTGTTCTTAATATGGATATTTTCCAGCTGCAACCATTGTTGACCGCCGTATTCTCCAAGTGCTATTCCAAGTTCTTTTAAATCAAGGTGAGGACAACTTTGTGGATTTCTAAAATATATTAGTTGATTTAGTAATGTGTGTATGCTTAGTATAGGTATTAACATGATTGATGATTGGTATTTGATAATGCTGATTGATATATGTTATTGATTGGTTATTAATGATAATTAATAATGAAAAATACTGGAATATGATAATAAGCTTTTAAGTTATTTAATAGTTAATTGAAATAATATTTATTTAGTTACAATATTGTTTGACGGCCTACAACGAAGAATTGAGATTGTGAAGTTGTAGTGATCGATAAATTGTTTGACGGTTTACAGTGAATGACTGAATATTGTGAAGCCCTGTTGAGTTGAGGATGGTGGCACCAGTAACTTGTCAAACCCAGAACGGGTGGTGGCAGAGAATGAGTACCATTGACGGAAGTTCTTTGGGAATATATAATGTGTTAGAGAATCTCTAGGTTGATTGATATGAATGATTGAATGATTGTATTTATTTATTAATATTAGAATCAGATATATATATATATATATTATATAATAATATTAGTTATTCTAGGTTGATTGTTGCTTGAGTTTGATGTCTATATTATGTATACTCATTATTGTTATTTCAATAATATGTCAAAGTATCTTGTGTGTTCCAAGAACACATCCTCACTGAGTATTTTTCTCGAATACTCACTTCTTTCTTATATTTCAGGTGAGATCAAAGAGTAATACTTGTGGCAGTCGTTGCGGTGTTATGTCTGGGAGTTAGAGCGCATTTTATAATTATTTTTAAAAAGAATTTTAATTAAATAATTTTTAGTTTCTTTAAATATTTAAGATTTTTCGAATTCTCGATTTATATATTTTTAATAAAAGATTTTTGATAATAAATTATTATTTAATATGTTCGTTATTCTTTTTAAAAATCTGTTAAATGAGTGTAATTCAAGTTAGATTATTTTTGTGTGATTAGAGTGTCTCAGCAGAGCATGTGTATCCATTTCTTTTCTTCTTGGGAGAGCAAAATTGTAATTGAACGAGTGGATAATTTCGAAATCCAATCAAAAGAATGTGGAAAAATAGAGGTACAAACCCGTAAACCAGCGTGTATGAATTATAACACTTTTCTAAAGTTTGAGTCAATCAAAATTTGCAATGACCTGCGTCAACGTCAACGTCAACGACCACTTTGCTTTGTCTTTTCCCTAAACTGTCCTTTTGGAAGTTAGTTTATAAAACTATATATACTCTTCTGTTTCTAGCACTCTCCAAGTGAATCAATGTAGCTATACAATGTGATCGACTTGAAGAGCTCAGCATCTTGCTCCTCTCTCAGGCGAAAAATGTTTCTTCTTTTTTCCTCTGCTTAAACCTTAGCAGTCACCATAACTTATGGATTATCTTCTACCACTCTCTGCAGTATAGTAAGCATTTCTTCTAGAGTTTTGGGTCACTTCACCTGCCAAGAAGCAAAACAAGGAAGACCACAAAACTAAGAACTACTTCTCTTGTCACACCACTCATTACAAACCTCATAAAAGGTTAAGAGAAGTAATAGTCTTGTTACCAGATTCATAGCCAAGTCTACATGAAGTTGAAAATTGCCTCTTGGATCTTTATTTTACATATAGGCTAGTCAATGAAGAGTAATCTAGGAATGGCCATATATCTATGATCTAGACAGAAGAATGACTGTTTCTCTGCCTGCTTAAGAAGAGCAATTCTCTGGTTAGACTTGAAGGCGTTTCGAAACAAGGCAATGAGTTCACCTACACAAACAGAGCCGATGGCTCAGAAGAACCTTGACCTAATCCAAACCCTAACATATCCCTATTACGCCAGAAACTAACCGTAAGACCTAAGCTTTTGCAATATTAAATAATACAATAACAGGAAATTTATAGCTTTTGCAAAAAATAAGCCTGAAAAAAGAGAGGAAATACCGTAATAGGGACTAAATCGTAATTTAGGGTTAGCTTTCGACCGTTAGTCTCTTTTGATCAACGAAAAAGGAAACTTGACAACCGGCAAGATAATTAGTCACTAATGAGTGACTAATCACAGTAATTAAACCCACTAAGCTCAAAGGAAAAAAAGGAAAAGGTGTAAAGTATATAATGTAGAAGAAGCATTCTTGTTCTCACTTTCGCTTATTCATTCTCAGTTTCTCAATTTCCTTCTTCCTGGCTCTGACCATTGTTGCTCTGAGAAATTTGAGTTTTCTTTTTTGGTTAACGACGATGATGTATTACAGCGATCTTCTCGGGGCTGCGGAGAAGGATACTTCCTCGCGTAATTTCTGTAATTTGGTGGACGCAGCCGTTTTGTTTTACGAAGAAGAACAACAACGTAAAGGAAAATCCAAATGCAACAGTACTGAGAAACAAGAAGAAGAAGAGAGCGACAAGAGATTCTTCCATCTTTTCCCAAGAAAATCAAGAACTTCGGTTAAGAGATTTGTTTCTAAAAGAAACCCACAACAAAACCCTAATGTGCCTTCTTCTTCTTCTTCTTCGTCGCTCCTCGCTGATTCCGCCACAGAAGACACACGAAACCCTAATTCCCAATCGTCTCTGTCTTCGTGCTTAACAGAGAGCAAAACCCGCAAGAGACGTGCCGTGCAAGAGAGTAAGCGTAGTACTGGTAAAACCAAGAAAGCAAAGGTTGATACTTTTTCATGGGAAGGCAGAGAAACTCCAGAGTGGCTAACACAGTTTATGAAAGACACGAATGAGACTGTAGTTAAGTGGGGAGAGAGAACAGACTTGAGTCTAATCTTCGAGAGGACTCTGTTCAAAACAGATGTGAACCCAGCAGAGTGCCGTCTCTCGATGCCTTTCAACGAGCTGATCCGTAAAGACTTCTTGACGCCTGTCGAGTCTAGGATCATTGAAGAAGACATCAACAACGTTAAAAAGATTGGAATTGGAGCGATTCTCGTGGATCAAAGGAATGTAAAGTGGGGTGTGATGTTGAAAAGATGGGAGATGAAGAAAGATTCAGGGAAAGGAAGCTGGAATTATGCTTTGACTTGTGGGTGGAACGAGATCGTCAAGGCTAATGGATTGGAACAAGGACACGACATAAGTATCTGGTCTTTCAGGTGGGGTGGGCTCCTCTGTTTTGCCCTTGTTACTCCTCCTCCTTCCATGGCACAAAGTAGCTCTTCCCTTGCTCTTTGTCTCTAGACAAGCTTCTTGTGTCTGTTGAGAGATTGATCTATTTGCACAGCGATCTAGTTTCAGAAGACTCTCTCTTCTATTTTTAGTAACTTGTCCTCTGTGTTGTATGGAGAAGTTAACATTTTTGACATGAATTTGGTTTCTTGTTTGGTTTATGTTACTTACTGCATTGTTTATTTCATTAGATTTCTTGTAATACATCTCAATCAAAGTCAAAAATGCTCACTACATTCCACTTGAAGCATAGCATTTTTGGTTTATCTAATTCAACTTTTGACAAATATTTGGTACTTAAACCAGAGAACAGTAAAGCCTTTTTTTTATAAGAAATTACATGTAACTTTCATTTATTCAAAAGTATAGGAACAACAAAAAGATCAGAGGAGCATGTCTCCTTTCCTTTCTTCTTGGGAGAGCAACATCCCAAATAAAACAAGAACCATGTTTTGTTTCTTTTCTTTAGTGGAAATTTCGAAACTCAACTCGAGTTTATCTCGAAAGAATGTGGAAAAACAAAGTGTACACGAGCGTGTGTGAATGAATTCTACCACTTTTCTGGAAGCATAAACAGTGATGAATCAATCCAAGTTTGCAATGACCGCATCAACGACCTCTTGTGTAGTACTGTTTCCACCAAGATCTTCAGTCCGGCATTTTCCTTCAGCGATCACACGCTTCACGGCGGTTTCAAGCCTATCAGCAAAAGATGGAAACTGAAGATGTCTAAGCATCATAGCTGATGAAAGCAGCAACGCGACAGGGTTTGCATTCTTTTGCTCTTGCGTCGTGTCCTTCCCAACATTTCCCGCTGATGCACCTTGCTCAAACACTGCATACTCTGCTCCAACATTTCCTGTCAACAAAATTCACAGAACATTTAGAGAATCTGTTTCTCTATTGTGCATTAAGAAGATCTTATCGCAGACTATTGTTACCTCCAGGCATGACTCCAGTGCCTCCAGCAATACCAGCAGCAGTGTTTGCAACTAGATTACCATAGAGATTAGGCGTAACCTGCAAAAGAAGACTCATGTAAAAAATCTGAATTGAAGGAAGCGAGTTTGAAGCATCAACAAGTGCTAGATCATATTTACCATGACGTCGAATTGCTCTGGTCTTGCTACAAGTTGCATACAGCAGTTATCGACAATGATTTCGTTGTAGGCGATGCTTGGGTACTTTTTAGCAACTTCTTGACAAGATTCCAAGAACAAACCATCAGCTAGTTTCATGATGTTGGCCTTGTGCACTGCTGTAACTTTCTTCCTGTTGTTCAAGTAGGCGTACTCGAACGCATACTTCGCAATACGCTCCGAACAGAACTTTGTGATCACCTAGCATAACATTAAGTATCAGAGACATCTTGGATAATACCAGTGGGCACTCGCATATAAAAAATAATGATGATCAATGTGCATCTGTGAATGTCGACTTCGAGATCATGGACATATCAGATTGTTAAGCTAAGTACTTCACTAAAATCACATTAACAGAATCATGGTTGTGACATTTGATTCAAGAAATGCATCTAAAATCGATTCTAGACGCCCAGAGAACTCAACCTAGAGAGCAAAAATTCCCAGAACTTTCTAAATATTGATCAAACTCTCCTCAAAAACAATAAGGTAAACACTCAAATCTACTACCAAATCACATCTTCAACCAAAAATTCAAGAGAAAATTCACCTTAAGGCTCTCAACGACACCAGGAACAACTTCGTGCTCAAGCCCTGCATACTCACCTTCAGTGTTCTCTCTGATCACAACGATATCAACGTTCTCGTGACGAGAAGCTAAACCAGGCAAATTGAAACAGTTGACCAAAGACGCAAAGAGATCAAGCTCTTTCCTCAAATTAACATTGAGCGAGCTCACACCACCACCGACGGGAGTCTTGAGCCCGCCTTTCAAGCACACTTTGTTCTTCTTAATCGATTCGAGCAATCCCTCAGGCAAGCTCTTCATGTCTCCGTGAACTACGAACGGCTCGAAGTAAACCGGCGCGTGCATCGCATCCATCACTTGTTCCACCGCGTTCGTCACCAGAGGACCGACTCCGTCTCCGGGGATCAAAGTCACCGGTCGTGGTTTCCCGTCGCCGGGTCTGGGCATGTAAGTCACGGATCGGGTCTGAGTTTTTGACCCGGAAGCGATTCTACCGAGACTCTTCAGTAGAGAAAACGATTGGCGAGACATCTTCTTCTGCAATTTTTGATCGGAATCAGATTCTTCAGAAGATGATTGAGAGAAATGCGACTTTAGAACGAAGGTAGAAGAAAAGCGTTTACTTAGTCTAAAACTTATTGTTATTTACATAATAGACCCAAAAGATTAACTGTTATTACATTTTGGCCCGTATTTAATTTAATATTTTCTTATGAGACCAATTTAGGAAACTGTTTTCACGTACACCCTCTAATCGAATTTCATTCTGTGTTCTATGGAACAATCTGGTACACTAGTGAAGAAGGCTTTGTTGAAGAACACGAACAATCCGAGGTTGGCGTGGAGCATCTTCAAGAGGATTTTCTCTTCTCCTTCAGAAGAAAGCCATGGAATGTCTTTATCTGCAGCACCCACCATCGCTCGTATCCTCGTTCGAGCCAAAATGCGCGAAGAAATCAACGAGCTTCACAGTCTTATGCTCTCCTCGTCAGTCCAAAACGCAGAATTTTCTACTCTTCTCTCCGTTGTGTCAATCTTCGCTAAATCGGATCACATTGACAAAGCTTTCTCGCAGTTCCAATTCCTCCGTTCGCGATTTCCCGAGAATCATCCAGGAATCTATTTGTATAATGTGTTGCTTGAAGGTTGCATAAAGGGAAGACGTGTGGAATTCGTTTCGTGGCTCTACAAAGATATGTTCCTTTGCCGGATTGCTCCAGAGACTTATACGTTCAATCTCTTGATCCGTGCTTTGTGTGATTCAAGTTGTGTGGACGCTGCTCGTGAGTTGTTCGACGAAATGCCGGAGAAAGGTTGTAAGCCAAATGATTTTACTTTCGGCATTTTGGTTCGTGGGTATTGTAGAGTCGGTCTTCCTGATAAAGGACTAGAGTTGTTGAATTCGATGAGAAGTTCTGGGGTTTTGCCTAATAAAGTTGTGTATAATACCATCATTTCGAGTTTCTGTAAAGAAGGCAGGAACGATGATTCCGAGAAACTGGTGGAGAAGATGCGAGAGGAAGGTTTGATGCCTGATATTGTAACTTTCAACTCCAGGATATCAGCGCTTTGTAAAGAAGGAAAAGTTCGGGATGCGTCTAGAATTTTCAGTGATATGGAGTTAGATGAGTATATGGGTCTTCCTCGTCCCAATCGTATAACGTACAACTTGATGCTGAAGGGATTCTGCAAGGTAGGGATGCTTGAGGAAGCTAAGACCCTCTTTGAGTCGATCAGTGAAAATGATGATCTCTCTGGTTTGCAGAGTTACAATATTTGGCTTCAGGGATTGGTCAGACATGGAAAGTTTATAGAGGCTGAAACTGTCCTTAAGCAAATGATTGATAAAGGAGTATGGCCAAGTATCTATTCTTACAATATCTTGTTGGATGGATTGTGTAAATTGGGCATGCTATCCGATGCGAATACAATCGTTGGTTTAATGAAAAGAAATGGTATTTCCCCAGATGCTGTAACTTATGGCTGTCTTCTACATGGTTATTGCAGTGTTGGGAAAGTCGACGCAGCTAAAAGCTTATTGCAGGAAATGATGAGGAATAATTGCTTACCAAATGCTTATACTTGCAATATCTTGCTCCATAGCCTTTGGAAGATGGGAAGAATGTCTGAAGCAGAAGATTTGCTGCGAAAGATGAATGAAAAAGGTTATGGAATAGATACTGTTACCTGCAACATTATAGTTGATGGACTCTGTGGAAGTGGGGATTTAGATAAAGCTATTGAGATAGTTAAGGGAATGCGGGTGCATGGAAGTGCTGCTCTTGGTAACCTAGGAAATTCATATATTGGACTAGTGGATGACAGCTTGATCGAGAACAATTGCTTGCCTGACCTGATCACGTATTCAACTTTACTTAATGGTTTGTGCAAAGCTGGAAGGTTCGCTGAAGCAAAGAAGTTGTTTGCTGAGATGATGGGAGAGAAACTGCAACCGGACTCTGTCGCATACAACATTTTCATACATCATTTCTGCAAACAGGGGAAAATATCATCTGCATTTCGCGTTCTCAAAGACATGGAGAAGAAAGGTTGTCATAAGAGCTTAGAGACTTATAATTCTCTGATCTTGGGCTTAGGCATACAAAATCAGATATTTGAAATTCACGGACTGATGGATGAGATGAAAGAGAAGGGCATTTCTCCTAATATCTGCACCTACAATACCGCAATCAAGTATCTTTGTGAGGGAGGAAAAGTCGAAGATGCAACTAACCTCTTAGATGAAATGATGCAGAAGAATATATCCCCAAATGTATTTTCCTTCACATATTTAATTGGAGCGTTCTGTAAGGTCCCTGACTTTGACATGGCTCAAGAAGCTTTCGAGACTGCTGTAAGTATCTGTGGACAGAAGGAAGGCCTTTACAGCTTGATGTTCAATGAGTTGCTTGCTGCAGGGCAACTCTTAAAGGCCACTGAGTTGCTTGAAACTGTTTTAGATAGAGGTTTTGAGTTGGGGACGTTTCTTTATAAAGATCTTGTTGAGAGCTTATGTAAGAAGGATGAGCTAGAAGTAGCTAGTGGAATTTTGCATAAGATGATAGACAAGGGATACGGGTTTGACCCTGCAGCATTGATGCCCGTGATAGATGGCTTAGGTAAGATGGGAAATAAGACAGAGGCAAACAATTTTGCTGAGAAGATGATGGAAATGGCTTCAGTTGGTGAAGTAGCAAACAAAGTCGATCTAAATGCTAGGGATTTACACCAGACTAAGGATAATAAGTATGGTGGAAACAATTGGCAGAATATACTGCACAGGTATAAAACTCTCTCCTTCTAGTTTGTCTTCTTCTATTGTTTCTCCGGTAGAAATCCTTTTGTTCGAGTTTTCATAGTTCTTTGCTTTGTGCTTTGAAGTTCTGGTTTTAAAGAAAAAATGGTTCCAAGATTTGGAGTAAGCATTCGTGTACATCATTAGAGAAAGGACTCTTTAATTTTACTTGAGTTCACATTGAGACAATTGTTTTAAATGTCCTGTCAGAAACTTAATGAATGTTTCCCCTATCAATTGCTATTTTGCAGAGATGACGGCAGTGGAATTGCACTAAAATCTCTGACAAGGGTTAAGAAGGGATGGGGTCAGGGGGATATATCAAGCTTTCAGCCTCCAAGAGTTGACTACTTAGACTACTGGGAAGACGATGATTAGGGATATTGCATGAATCTGCTTTATATCTGATGGAAAAGTTCAGATGAGGGTTTATCAAGGATATGGCTAGTCTCCTAGATTTGTACTAAGGACGATCAGACAGAAACAAAAACTGTTGCTGTAAGTTCAGTTCTCCTAGTCACAGCCTTCTGATGATATATGGAACCTTCTAAGATTTTGGAAGACAAAAAAATCTCTTTTTTATCAATCAGACACTTAGTTGAACAGGCATTGAGTGGCATGCTTCGTTGGATATGATACATGCAGAGTTGAACAGGCATTGAAGTCAGAGAAAATTTTAAAATGACATGGGTGAACACAAGTGGCAGACCAAGCTGGTGGAGATAAGAGGAAAAAGAGCCGCCCACTTTCATATGAAATTTGAAGCCAACTTTGAATTTTGGGTCAAAGGAACACTACCTACCAAATTGAAATAAATGTAAGCTACAATTCTTGTGGTTTTTGTCCGCACAGTTTCTGGTTTAGGAGTTTGAGTGGTACAAAGTGACTAAGTTTGTCAAAACATAGACATACATGCATATTGTTTTTTCATGTATTAAGTGTTTACATCGTAACCAATATAGTGAAATGGATATTGTATAAGTCTGGCACATTCTTTTCATGTTCCTCGTAGATCAATGATACCATGGATTAGATTGTAAAGAAGTGAAAACATAGAACATTCAATCGCCTGTAGTTGCAGAGCTTAAGGAACAAGAAGTGTGAACAAGAAGTGAAAACACAGAATATTTCAATCGCCTGTAGTTGCAGAGCTTAAGAAACAAGACAAAATAATTGTACAGACATAAATACAAGTTTCTGGAATGCACCGCCTTTTATACAAAAATCTGTTAAGGCAATGCAGGAGACCAGTTACTACTGCCAATTGCAAAATGGTATTCAGGATACTGAAATATGTTTATACACGAAACCCAGGCTAAAAAGGTAAGTAAGATTTCTAAAAGAGGTACAAAATCAGTAGAATCTTGCTGTTTCTTTGCAGTTACAACCTTGCTTTGATTGTTTATCATGATGGACCAGTGCTACCAAAAGAACCTCCCAGCTTGACTTGAGAAGCTTCTTGCAGGCTTATTTTAATTGTCTGGCTCTGCGAGGATCTATAAATGTCAATGCATTCCTCGAGATCCGGTTCACATGTCAGAAGAACCCATTCCTTATCATCATCCAGGTACTTAAGATCAAACCAGGAAATGTCATCGATGTTAAAACGCCTGGCGATCTCTTGCTGCAGCTCTCTGTAGCCCCAGCTCGGGAGCAAGGTAAACCGTATTCTGGCCTCACCAAATGTTGCTTTCACTTTAATGGTCCCTCCAGCTCTTAAGCTCTTGTTGCTACTCCCTGGTAATGGAGGTAAATTTTCAGGAAGTGGTGGCTCCTTGAATATTTTATGGCTCTGGTTTCTCGCGAGACATTTTGTTTCCTCCTGATTCCCATTATGCAGTTCCGCCTCGCTATGAGCTTTCTTTAAGACCCTTTCAGCATCCTCAGCAACCTGCAGAGTGTTTGCATTATACACAGTATTGGTGCTTGAACCAGAGCTCTTGGTGCAAGAAGATGATGGTGACACTGGTGTTGGTTTTTCCTCTGCCAAACCACCGTTTTCGGTTGAAACATTCAAATGATGTAACTGTTCATTACTTTTCAAGGAAGGACCGGTACTGGACATGTTTGGGGAGCTCAATTCTGGGAACCTTGTATAGAATGAATCGAGTTGGATAGATCCCTGCGCACCTTGAACAGAGTCCATAACGACTTGGAGTTTCTTCAACGAATGTCCAACCTTCTTGATTTTCCGGGAGGGCCATCTTGTTATTCCGTGTTGCCTGCATATCCTTTTCAAGGTAGTTGGACAAACTGCAACATAAAAACGAACCTCTGAGAGAGCGGTATTATAGGCATAATGAAAATGTTTGTAGAATACACACACTAATCCACGGCCTTATAGATTGAATGTAACAAATTTCTGGTCTAGTCTGAGACTTGGGTGTTTATATTTCCCTCGATAGTGTTCCTCAGGCTTGAATTTTAGTGTTACATATTCATTTGAGATCCAATTTATGGGTTTGGACTAAAGAACGTACTGGTTATGGCTTTCCCAAGAAACAAGAAAAATCATAATTCATAAAGAGTGAAGCTATGTTTCTAGCGGTGCACAACAATTTCTTACCACCAATGCTCTTGGCTGCATCCTTGAGGCTTCCAGCAAAGTATTGTCGAAGAACCTCCAAGCCAATGGTTTTTTCTGTTTTTGTTCTTCTCTTTTCCCCTGGCCTTCTACTCCCTAACATATTTCCACCAGTCGATGCTGATTCAGTACTTGGACCGGTGTCGACTCTGAGTCCTGAATTTGATGCTTGTTGAAACTGCTGAGCTTCTAAAGGAAAATCTTTGGGGGTTGGTTCAAGCTGATTGTTATCCCAGCCAGATGAGCGTTTGAATTCATCTTTTGGATCTTCATTTTGGTACTCCCAAGAAAGTGACACACCTTTACCTTTCTCGTTTGCATTTATCATGTGAGAGATCCATGAGGATTCTTGCAGATGAATCTCTCTCAAAGACTCTGCGGTTTCTGCACCAGTTAGTGGGTTCTCTGAGAAAACCATGTCCTCTCTAACAAGCAATACGACTTCTAAATCCATATCTTTGTCAATGACAAGATTTGAACTCCTGAAATCCTGCTGCAGAGTCACAGACAGTGACTTGAGCATATCCTGTTTTGCTTCAGTGTCAAGGCAGGATTTTGGAAAGAAGAATTCCAACACAAACTCAACCAAACCACTGCATTTGCTCTTTAACGGGACCGCTAAAGCAGCATGTAGTCCAGATATCTTTGCGTGGTGCGCAAGAGGGTAGTTAGTCTTGCTGAATGTGGTCACTTCAGGCACGAAAAACAGTTTGGTTTCCTTGAATGCTTTCCCAACAATGCCTTCCCCCTGGAGCAGATGGTGTTCAGAGCATGCCTTCAGAAAATCATTGCTCTGTTCATCGAGGACAAAGCAAGCGGAATCGATTGTCGAAACGCACTGAGAGAAGTTCTCATCGGAATGTCGGGATCCACCTTTCCCATTCCGAGCACACGGGGCCCATGATAAAGCCAGAGGCAAATCATATGATCTGCAGACTGAGGCCAAGAAATCTGATATCTCAGGTAATGCAGCGTTGTAGAAATCACTAGAGACCTGCAGAATTTGAAACATTGTGTATGACCTTAGCAAAGCATATCATTGTTTCTAGGACCTGAATGAACTAAGAGTCCAGTTAATGCACCTCAGTGCTTGGAGGGTAACTTGAACTCCTTAGATCTACGGCCTGCATAAACAGCAACCTCTTTAAGCTATTGTGATACACAAAGATAGAAGCAGAACAATTACAGAAAGCTGTCTAGTGAAAGAGACATTCAAGATTGAGGGCTGATGGTTGTATCAGTTTAAACATGTTTGGTAAGAGTTGCGTGATCTACAAAGTAGTTTGAGGTAGAGAAAAACCTCAAGAGCTTTACAGATATTCTCAAGTTCTGGCCCGTAATTCATCTTCTGAGTTGTTGTGACGATCTCAACAACACCCAAACAAGTGCCACTACCTCTTTCGAACACAGGAAGGGCAAGAGACCCACGGACATCACACTTTTGTGCTTCTTTGATGCGCGGATATTCATCGCTTCTAAAGAACCGAACATCAGGAGTCCACTCAGGCAGTTTCTGCAAGAAAACACGGCCGGGAAGACCAACATCTTTCGAACCCTCATCAGCCGGGAAATTATAATTCTCAGAAACATGTCTGTATTTTGCAAGGCTAGAGTATTCTTGGTTGAACAAATGTGGCTGTGCCCAAGTGGTAAGAAAGTTCTTCCCTTCTTGCTGAAATGGCACCCAAATCTGTACCAGAAAGTCCTTATCCACCACCGCCTCGTTAAGACCGCTTATAGCTTGTAATAGTCTCTTCTTCACAGATGAAGAAGGGCCTTCATTTGCTCTTGGGGCAATCCACCAACTTCTTCCCACCTCAGCTTCTTCGAGTAGAAACTTTTCTGCTATCTCAGAACTTGTTTCAGCCTGATTAAAAGGTTCTTGATTGGAGAAATCATCTTGAGATGGGTTCTCACCAAAGCAGAGGAAAGGGCTACTCTCATTCATGGCGTTAGGAGCTAAAACAGCTTCTTCTGTCTCCTTCAAGCTCTTACTATCTGTTGTCTCTATCCAACATCCATCAAACAAGAGCTCATCCATGAAATCCAAATCCATGGCCGTCTCAGGGAATGCCCCAAAGCTTGAATTAGGTGAAAACCCACCATTTCCTTCGCCTCCGTTGCCACCACCATCATCTTCCATACCTAAAGATTCCTTTTTTTATTATTCTTTCAATCTAGCATCCAACAGATCCTACCAAATCCCCAAGTTCTCAGAGACTGTGCTTAGCTGTTGTTCTTTATGTTCCGATACGCATAAGCCTCTTGAAGATGAATAGATAAAAGAGAAAACTCCAAAAAATTAATGTTTCTCACCCCAAATTGGTATAACCATATCTGAAAAAACAGTTGCCGAAACATTATCAAAAACCCATCCAAGAACAAGAGAAGAGAAGAATCAAGTTGTTATTTCCCAACTATCAAAATTATAAGTTATTTTTTCCAATGGATGAAATCATAGAGATGCTACAAAAATAATATATAAGCAGCAGCTTCGCTTTCAATGGAGATTTGACTTAAAGAGGGTATCAATCAAAGTAGTGCCATCAATTTCAAGTTCAAGATTCTCCCCTATGCACATGGAAACTCATCCAAAGGAAAATCAAGATTTCAGAAAAGAAAAGCTTAGACCCAATTCCAAAAATCATTCTAATTTAAAACCCCCAAAAGAAAATCAAAGAGATTGAGAAAAAGATTCAGCAAAAGTTACCAACTTTATCAAGATTCCTTGCACAAAGAGAGAGGTAAAGCTTCACTTTGGTTGTATGACCTAACCCAAAAAGCACCAAGACAACAAACGAAGATTTGGGTCTGTGAAATTTCTTTCCTCACCAAGCTTCTGTCTTTTATTGAATGGTGTTTGTTTTTTTCTTCTTCCTTTACTGGACGAAAGTAGTTGATTGAAGGTAAGATTAGTCTATTTTAATCTCTAACCATGTGACTGATATGGACTTGAAGATTCTTTCCCGAGAACAAAGTGGACCCGTGATAAGAGCATCCACTGTTCTAATCACACTTATATAAAGAACTGTGTCCGAACCTGCAGTAATAGAAAAACAGTTTCTTGGTTTCTCAAAGACAAATCTAACATGACCTGCTTTTCTTCTAAGAAAGAACCAGAAGGAGAAAGAAAAAAAAAACGGCTTTGGTTTTGGAGCTGAGATGCTAAATGTTCTTGTTTATGGTGAGGTTGGTGTCCTGCCATCTTCAGATTCTTTTGCCCCTATATAATTATTTTTCAGAAAATTAATTAGTATATAATATTATACTTATTAGTTAATTAGAGTTATAAGATTGTTAATCATTTGTCTTGATTACGTATGCGTACTTATTCTATTTGGCTCGTTCTTTTCCATTGGTTAAAGACTTTACAGACTTGGCTGTATCATTGAATCTGTAAACAAAGATTCTTAGAGAAGAAATGTCTTCTCGCGTTGAACAGGTGAATAATTTTGATCTGTAGAAGAAAGATTCTTAGAGAAGAAATGTCTTCTCGCGTTGAACAGGTGAATATTTTGATCTTCAAAAGTTATACAGTATAAGCTCTATAAATTAATAATATCGAAACCATAATATTTTATTAATTTATTATGATATTAATTTATCTATAAACTAATAATTATAGAGAAAAATTAATTTTCACTCATCTTCTTCTTAAATTAATAAATAATATTATATTTAAGAATATACACTTATATGCTTATCAAATAACATACATAAACAAAAATTTAGGATTACTAAATATAGCTATGCAATATATGTAAGAATATAAATGTTTATAAGTACAAAATTTATAAAAAAATAATTATAGCTATTATCCCTAATGTTAATGCCGAAATTTAAGACTATATTATAACATATTTCGAAACAATTACGCATAAGAAAATCAATTATCACATCTAAATTCTTTTACAAATTTTAAATGGAAAAAAAAAAATATTTATTGATGTAAATAAGTAAATAGATGATTTTTATTAAATTTAAAATTTAAAAAAAAAAACAACATATTAATCACATTTTAGTATATTAGATCTTATATATATACATTTATATAATTATTAATTTATATTTATGTTGTGATCATATATTTACATAAGAATTTCAAAAAAATTATTATCTTATTATCTTATTAAATTTAATGGATTTTTACACTGACTCAACTCAGAACCAAAGAAATTTATTAATTTATAGTGATTATTAATTTATCAGATATTAATTTATAGAGGTTCTACTGCATTCATTTTTCTTATTAACATTTCATCAGCACTAATTTAAAATTTTGAAAACTTTCTATAAGATGATGAAAGCTATGATCGGTATATAATCGTATAATGACAGACATACATAATGATTCGTGATTCTGCATTTATTTTTTTCTTTAACATAGTTCTGTAAAATTTGTAACTTTTCTATCTTTTCTTGTAACATCAAATTTTAATTTTAATCGTGAGATTGTGATGAGGCTCAGTCTCCTCCAATCGGACAATAACAGACAACCTTCTTGTAAATCATTCAACCAAAATTTAACGGCTAAATTTGTGTATCTTTTCAATTAAAAATTAAGAAAAAAACAAATAAACTTGTGCATCTTTGTTTGTATGCGAGTAAATATGTATATTTACAATAACAAAATCTCCAAAGGGTCAGGGTTTAATTAACTGATCAAATGACTCTCAATGAACTAGGGAGCCGTCGTCCCTTCTTCATCGTACGATTTATTCTCTATTAGTCGCGTCCAGGCCATGACCAAACCAAAGGTCACTGAACTCCTTAAAATAATCCTCACATCCTTAAGACTTAAAGCTATAAATATTGTTTAGTTGAATCCTCGTGTAAATCATAAACTTCATATCAATGATTAAGATATCTAAAGATTTTATATACTACAAAATACTTTCCGCACGACGCTTCTCTTTTTTTTTTTTTTTAATCCATGATAGATTTCGAGTGTTCAGGCTAATCCCCAAAAACAATAAAAAGGGGATAGTATTGCTGTTTAAAATGCATAAAAGAGAGCTAACTACGATTTTCTTAGATAGTGAAACTTGATTTTCTTATCTTGATCCACATGCATGACGAATCTTCTACTCACTCAAAAGTGACCCCTGGCCTTGTTGCATCATCTCTAATTTCTTTCAAGAGTATATATACGATATCAATGCCTCCTAGAACATAACAAAAAATCCCCAAATCTAAAAGAAAATCAAAAAGAGATCAAATACTAAGTTTGTATAAAGAGACAATCAAATGAATATTTTTCAAGATAAAAGAACTAACAATTTTGAACCAGATTTCAGATTGGAAACTCAAACCGGAAAAAAAAGTGGTCTCGTTCGTTCAAAAGAGTATGATGGATGCAAGAAACAAATAAAAGTATCCAAAATTACACTAAACATGCAGTTTCACTAAACTTGGAACATAAGAAGAGCACTTAAATTTGCCGCTATATTGCCACGAAGGATACCGAACTTCTCCCATGTTGACAGATCTGAAGTATCCATCTTCTCCAATGATGTAAGCCATCAAGAGAGTACAAGTCTCCTCTTTATTTACGCATATATCTAAAAACACAGCGACTTTCTTCTCCTCGTCAATGAAGAAGCTCTGACCATCAAAGTCAAACATATGAAGATACGGTACTAAACTTTCGTGCGGTCTCATGTCCAGTGTCAAAAACTTAGACCACAACACCGCATTGGGCTCAATCTTAGTCGTAGTCCAAATATTTATCTTGAAATACGCGGCGTAGTGGTCATACAATAGAGCGAGCCTCTCATTTGTAACCCTAGATAGAGTCACGTTTTCGAAATTAAGTACGTAAGGTTGAGACGGCAGTGGCAGACTCGGTCCAAATCTCTCTGTTGTAAAATCAAAATAGACTAAATAATCCTTAAAATCCTCTGTTAAACCGCAAAAGTAAGCATTTCCTTTTAAAGACGCGCTCGTATTATAGATAAAATACGGTTGATTCACATCAAGAACCCTCCATGAATCTGAGCTAAAATCGTATAACTCAATGCCTATGATAATCTTTTTCCTGTCAATATAAAACTTTAATATTTTGTGGTTACGGATGTTGCTGTTGTTGTATCCCAGAGCATGCATTTGTGATGTGTAGAGGAATTTTTTTCTGGTTTGAATCAATCTGGTTTGGGCCAAATACGGGTTCCACACCAAAAGCTTCAAGGGGTCATCGATGACGCATAACAATAAGCCGTCGCAGTTAATGCAGACGTCACATATCTCGACTTGATGATGATTAGGTATACTTAGTTTCTTCATTGGTGGATCAGTCAAGTCATCGTCGTAGTCGTAGTCGTATTCGTATATCCTGATCATGAACCCTAGAAACTGCTTCCTTGTTGCTTTTTCACCAAGAATCTGATTTTTTTTATATATAGTTCTACGTTTTACAAGTAGATCGTATTGTGCTTAGATATGTCAATGGAACCCTAGATAGAATCTGCTCTACCAAATCCCTGGGAAGATCAGAAATTGTCGTCGTCATTGTCATCCCATCATCTCATAGCTAGGGTTTAAAAAAAAAAAGAAAGCTTTTTAACTTCCTCTCTTTTCTCTCTGTATATATAGAGCCAGAGATAGAGTATATATAGAGCCAGAGATAGAGCATAATTATATCTCTTACTGGGTTTGTAAATATGTTTTTGTTGGGCTTTGTAATAATAATCGTTTGCTTCGGCCTGTTTAAGAGGTACCCAATTATATAAAATTATAAGCATACGGTTAAACCGACAAAAACCGCAGAAAAACCGAGTTTTCAATCTGCAACAATTATTATATCCAAACCAAACCAAGGTTTATCAAAACTTATGCAAATTCAACAAAGTAAATTTTCTACTGGATTGTATGAGAATTTTCTCCATTGTTTAGGGGTTCTTTTATTCGAGATTGCTGATTTGAACTATTGTGCTCTTGTTCTGTTTGTTAGGAAAATTCTGGTTGTGTCATAATGGTTTACTAATATTGCTTGATCTCTTTGTCTCAAACCCCATTCGATCTAAGTGTTCCCTCCCTTAAGTTGTCTCAGCAGGTGTCCAGTTACACAGAGACAGAGAGGGCTTATTCTGGTTATGATATAAAAATCTGAAATACAAATATGCTGTTTCTCGGTAATAAGTTCAACTCTCAAGAAATTTTGTTAGTGATTTTAAAAAAAAAGTGTAAGTTAATGGGCAAAAACAAAATTGTTGATTTAAGCTGCCACTACTCATGGTCATGCTTAACTACACTATTGCAGGTTTTGCATCGTACAATAACTTGGCTAGAGGCAATTTGTTCATAATGATTTCCATATCATCAACATCATCATCATCATCATCATCATCATCATCATCATCATCATCATCATCATCATCAAAAACATCAAATTAAAATCCTGAGAAGAAAAAACAAACAAAAAAAAACATCTATAAAATTTGGGATAAAATTATAATACTCCAATATCTAGTTAATCATTATCATCATCATCATCAACATCAAAACAGCAAGCAATCAGTATCGTAAAAAGCAAAAGAAAAAAAAACATATACCCCTAAAATTTGTTATAACAATTTAGCATAAAAGAGTACATCTAGATCAATTCTATAGTGATCTGGGTGGAAAAAAATTAGTTTCCTCACTTATTTCCTCGTGATGGAGAGAGAACCGGACACCATAACCTCTACGAAGTACATCTCCATCGGACATGTAATCTCATTGATGATCCACTAAAATAAGTGGGTTGGATCACCTTGAATGAATGAGAGAAAAAGCCATTTGAGAAAATTTTATTCAGAAATTTTTGTAAAGAGGCTTTTTGTTTTTGGTTTTTGAGTGAGAGAGAGCAATGAAGTGATCTCCTTCTATATTCACATCAGATAATATGAGCTTGTTGGCATGAATATAAATTATTAATAACATCATAGCATTGGTTAAAAAAAAGTAAATATTTGAGTCTTTGTTAAACCTACTAAGATAAGATGGTTGTGCATAATTTGTTCAGTATTTGCTTTTATATCCAGCAAATGCTTTGACGTTACTAATAATTTATATTCTGAATCTTAACTTAGGTTAATGGATTTTGAAGAGAGACTTTCTCTTTTGAGGTAACCAAAAAAGTAAAAGTTTTTTTTTGTTTTTGTTTAAAACAAGTGGAGATGCTGGATTTCGATCCCCAAACCTCTCACGTTCAAAGAGTGCGCTATACCAACTGAGCCACATCAACGTTATTAAGTAGAAGTTATAACTTATATTGATGAGAAGTGCTTGAAAGAGTCTTAATTATAACTATTGAGATTTTTCTGTATTCTTTTGAAAATTATTACTGGGGACATGTGGTATTCAAGTGCATGAACCAGAGTCTGAGGTAAAACGAACAGAACCAGAGAGTTTAGGAGCTAAAATGATGTTGATTTGGAAGCTTATTCTGTCAACATTAAAAGATATATCTTTTGAGATATTTTATTCTTTAACACTACAAATCCAATTAGCATATACTCATTTATACCACAATTGGTTCATAGATGACGTGATCTTCTGATCGGGTTAGATAATGTACCAGCCCGGGCATGCGTTCTTGCATTTTACCACAAATAGAAATCAAGAAATTGTACAAGTTATATAACCTACAAGTAAAACGAACACTTGGTTAATATAGCTAAAGTTTCTACTGCTAAACTCTCAGAACTGGAGACCAGCTACAGAAAATGATCTCACTTATCATAGGAACATAACAAGAATAAGTAATTTCACGCCAAGCGAAGACATTTTGATAATTCACCTAACCAAAACATAAGATTAGTATATCATATTTACATAAAACAGAATTTTACACTTGCTCTCAATAGACAGATATTGAAGTTGTATAACAGCAACTCAGGGTTTAAGGATGTAGCCAAACCGGGGAAAATTCGAACCGATACAAACCAGGTTTATCTCACTGGTCACACAATTTTTGTTTTTTTTTCTGTTTTTAAATAAACAAACAAAACTCTGCATTTTAGATCTCCCTTCATCGTCTCTTTCTTCATGTTAATTAATGTTTCTCTTGAGTTTGGCGTCTCGTGCAATGAGGCTTGACCATATAAAGGGAGGTTATTGGGAGTTAGATTTATGAAGATTTTAGTTGATTTTAAAAAATCATGAGATTTGTCAAATTTTTAAGAGTTTTGTTGGATTTGTAAAATTTAGAGAGAGTTCTATGGATTTAAACAATCTATTAAGAATTTTTTAATATGACAAATTTTGAGAATCTAAGGGATATAGGTAGTATTTTGAGAATCATGATTTATGAATTAAATTATAAAGAATCATTATGCCAATAACATTAGATTATAACAAAATCATAGAATCATTTAAATGCAGACTTTTTGAATAACAATGGATTTTGATTAGATTATAAAAATCATCATATCAATAACAACTGATTTTTATAATCTCTAAATGAATAATAGAGGAATCTATTAAGAATGTAAAAATCCACAAACCAATAACTATAGAATCTTAAACTCTAAAAATCTTTATAAATCAACTCTCTAATAACACCTCCAAAGTTGAAAGAACAAGAAAGATCTCGAGAAATCTCTTCCAAAACGATGTGGCTCGCTGGGGAACTGGACAGCAAATTTTTGGTGGGAAAGAATTCACCTTTACACACTTTCATTTTTGGGAAATTGCTAATCGTTTAGGGTCAGTGTCTGAGTGATTTGTTTGGCAGAGAAATAGTTACCGGAGCGTTTGTTTATTTGAAATTCCAAGGGTTTGTAGTTTTCGAATTTCAATTTTTGACTAGTGATTGTATTAGAATTTTCTCCATTGCTTACTGCTGATTATGAACTCTTCGGCTCTTGTTCTGTTTGTGTGGAATGGTTGTGTCATAATGCTTTACTGAAACTGATATTGCATGATCTCTTGTCTAGTGTCTTAAAACCCAGTCGATCTAAATCTTCCCTTAAGTTGTCTCAACTAAATCCAAGCCTTTGTCCAGTTACAGAGAGGGCTTGACAAGTTTCTTGTTATGGTTTTATGGTAGTAATACATATGGACATATATCACTTCTTTGTTTTTGTGCAATGCATATAAATTATCATAATACTGAATACAAATAACTTCACTGAACAGAACAACAATGCTTAGGGAGGAGAGTGAGATAAATGATGCTAACGAATGCTCCGGTGTTTGTTTCTGACAAAAGACTTCATGAACCACTCAGGCTTGTATGAAGCCACTATGTATCCGATCGTCAATCCAAATACAACTCCAGGTGCAAAGCCTAACCCTGCTGCTATCCAACTCAACATTTCCTCTTCTTCTTCTCCTTCTTCTGATTCCGATGATGTTGGCACATGGATATCTCCACAAATGTCCTTAAGGGAAGGACCATAAAGTCTAGGGTTTCCCTCGTAAGAAGAGCAACTCTGTTGTTGAAACTGTGTACCTTGTGGTATTGAACCTACAAGCTGGTTATGTGAAACGTTTATCCACCCAAGAGAAGAGAGATCCCTGAGCTTTGGAGGAATCTCACCAGAAAGCTTGTTTTGGGATACGTCTAGTGATTCTAGTGACGTAAGGTTTGCCAAAGATGGTGGGATGTGTCCCGTGAAAGCATTTCTTGAAAAATTGAGAACATGAAGCTCCTTTAACAGACCGATGGATTCAGGAACTTGTCCATGGATTTTGTTTCCAGAAAAATCAATGGCTGTGTAGGCTGTGAGGATACGTTCCATCTCCATTGCTACTCATTTGTTCATCAACACAACCGAAGTGTAGTAGCCATAGTCATGAAAATCCCCAATGTAGTTCGGTTGTGTATAGTTATCTTTCTTACTTGATATTGCAGTCCAGTTCAGGAAGTAATCGGATGGTAAGGTACCAATAAAGTCATTATGTGATACATCAATGATTTTTCAACTGAGGGAATCCGGACCAAACCCCACCGGAGTGATCTAACATGCCATGGAACTTGTTGGCTCGGAGGACAAGAACTTGTAGCTTCTGCAAAGAACTCAACTGGAACGGAAACGTATCAGTTATTTCGTTGCTTTCCACGTTCAGAACTTCCAGAGCAGAACAGCCAGTAAGAGATGCATGAAGTTTTCCCTCCAATCGGTTGTGACTGATGTCAATGGACCTTAGCTTCGTGGTGTGCACAAACATATCAGGAAGACTTCCGCTGAGGCTGTTGTTACAGAGATTTAGATCCGAAAGAGAACTCATGTGAGTCCCTAAACACCGAGGAATCAAGCCGTGGAAGTTGTTGTCTGATAGGTCTATGATGATAGGAGAGGTTAGTCCACATATCGATCGAGGTATCTCTCCAGTGAAGTTATTGTTAGAGACAAACAAGTAGGCTATAGATGTGGATGAGATGAAGAGTGGTCCTTCAAAAACATTTGAACTGAGATCCAACGTATTGATCTGACTTCCAGGTACAGCTTCAGAGGATCCGTTGAAACCACTTAGGGAGTTTTTAGAAAGATCCACAATTTGCAGCGTTTGTAGTCTCCATAA